TGTACAACAATGTGAATGTACTTAGTGCCCCGTTCTGTACACTTAAAAATGACTAAAATGGTGGGATTTTTATGTTATGTATATTTTACCACAATTTAAAAAAAAGAGAGAGATTGATGGTCTGAGTTTCCTAAAATGAAACCATAAGAACTTCAAATAATTATGTTGCAGCTATTTATACTGTATTTAGTTCTACTTTAGGTATCCCTACCTAAAAATTCTAGAGAATAATTTTTTAAAATCTAGACTTGAGTGCATAAAAGAAAAAGAAACCAGGTCTTTAATGATGTGCTAACGTCACATTCACTTACTTAGAAATGTGATTTTCTTTCGTTGCCAAGACAGCAACAGTTGCTCTGGAAACCACACAAAAATGGGGATACTTAACTGAAACAAACTCCACTCACCTGCACAAAGATGCCCTTGCTCCTATACTCCTCGTGGAGGCACTGAGAGAAGAAATCTACAAAAGCCTGGGAGGGTGGTGGGAGTGAGAAGAAAACACACACATTACATCAATCTGCTTGATTTGTAGTCATGGAAACAAAAAATAATAAACTAACCATTTAACACTATCATTTCTAATCTTTTTTTTTTTCATTTCACATACAGAAGAGACCTTAAAAAAACACCTCAAAACCTCGAGTTGGTTTTAATCTGCCAATAAATGAAGTATTATATTACCAAATATAATATCCAGATCAAATTTTGATTTAGCTAGAAAAGGCTCTTCTTATCCTTTTTTCTCCCCAAAAAATTACACAAAAAAATTTTTATTTTATATAATAAAGGATGCATTTCTTCTCTCTACTTGCCACTCAAACAGAAACAATGTGAATTCTGTTTAACCCTGTTCTATGGGGATTTTGTTGTTGCTAAAAAGAAAAGAGCAGGCATTCTCTTGATGTTTTGGGATGGCAGGATCCAAGAAGTGTAGAGATGAATGTGACAGGCCATTTTCTTCTGATAACGCAACCTTAAATCTATTTGTAAAATATAGTGTGCCATTCTTCAAATGTGGACTCAACCTCAGGCTTGAAATGCAAAGTATCAATATGACTCTATAAGGGTCCTTAAGGGTCCTGATTAGTAACAGTCTTCTGTCCATGGAACAGAACAGATAAGAAGTTGGAGTTCATCAATCCCTTCAAGAAACATGGCATCCATTTTAAACATGCCTATAGTATGTTCCAGAGATACAGAAAGCAAGTAGGTTGCACGGGTTGGGGAGTGGTGCCAAGTTTTTTCAAAAGATAGTAGTAACTGTTTTTTCAAGTGAAAAAGGAGACAGATGTTTTGCTCTTTTCCTTCCCTGACATATCATACATTCTTCGGTATATTATACTTTGCTTATTTTTCCCTAAAAGCTTTAAACATCTAAATGGTCATCTTCCCTTCAGAGATGTATTCCCATGCTTCAACAACGTATCCGAAGATCACGCTCTTGACCTGCAGGCAGTGGGAGATGCATTCTAAATTATATTCCTAGTAGTAATGTGAAAGATGAATGATAATGTTGTATGAAATTATGACATCTTACCAAGAGTTCTGGAAACTTCTTGTCTCATCCCCAAAGCAACAATGAATATCTATGAATTCTGGATAATGTGGCAAAATATTCACTCTCACCTAGTCTATCCCATGCCTACTGTGTACATTTATGTGCTGACTGGATGCATTTCTTCTATGCTGTGTGAAGTGGACTCATTTATCTATCAAATCTTTAACCCTAGTCATTAACACCATGGTCTAAACAACTGAGCTAACTGGCCTAGGCCAGTTCTCTGTGGATGAGTATCACTTTTAAAATCAGTAAACTACTGGGAATTTTAAAAAAAGCATCTGTGGATCTGATATCCTGAGGTCCCATTTGTAAGTTTACACACATCGGTATGTCTCCAGCTGTGGTTCTCCTGAAACTCATGTGGGGTATTTTCCCTCTCTTCTCAGGCCACTGGAAAACTGCCAAGAGTATAACTTCAAGACAGTTAAATCCATGTTAATTTCTGAGACTGAAAATGATTCCTCATCCTTACATGGACAGGATTCACTAGACTATCACTCACCTTGGCTGCAGAGTAGACGGTCAGCAATGGGACGGGAAACATGCCAGAGGCAGATGAGATGTTCAGAATCACTCCTTTTGATCTAAAAGGGAAAGGTACCAAGTAAAAGAGTGAAATCATATACACAGTTGTTTGTGAATTACAGATTGAGATATTAATATATAATTATTTGAAACAGAATAACAGCTGTTCTTCTAACACACGTCTCTCCCTGCATTTCATCAGTGTGTGATCTGCTCGGTCAGTGAATGAGGCATAATTCAATCAACTAAAAATAGCTCTTCTTTATGATTAGCTCATGTCCCACTCTTAGAAAACCAGGCCGTGACCAGATCAGATCTCCAGTCTCCTCAAATTGATCTCTCCCCTCTGAGGTCTTTTCTGGTCCTTTCACTTAGAGATACTGTTATATTCCTTGCACGCACCTTTATTTTAGCACATCATCACGGACGACCTTGCTATGGTATTTAATCATTCTATGTGTATAAACATTTTTCCCCTCAACAAAACCATAAGCTTCTAGACATAACAGCAAACTCTCTGCACAGTACTGTGCACGTAACAAACGGGTACTCAAGAAAACCTTCCGGAAATGAGTGGGTGGCTATGTCCTGCCCTCCTACCTTCCCTGGGTTGTAGATATCTGGGCACCAAACTAACAGTTGACTCTAAAACTATGCAACTCTATAGTTTATCACACTGTATATTTTTGCCAAAAGGCAAAGCTCAATTCCTACTGGAATTTTTAGAGACAATTGAAAGTCAAAAGTCAGAAAGTAACCCCAAATTTCTTATTCTACAAGTAAATGAAAATTGGATTGAGAAAAGAAATGCTGTAAATGTTAATATATCAGCTGTTAGGAAGCATATATAAGTTACGTAAGTGTGGGATTATAGTTTAGGAATGTCAGAACTATCATCCCTTCCCCTCAAATCCATTCTTCTCAGAGGGGTCTCCTTCTTCAGCTAGTGCAACCTGACCCACCCACCTTCTTTCCTCTACATTAGATTCCTTTCCTTCAACCCAGTTTCTCATTGTTCTTTGTCTGAATTTACTTCCCCAAGGCCTATTTTTTTTCAGCATTAAAAAAGGAACTATGTAGACCCCTTTTATGCAAAATAATAAAGGAAACATGATTAAATGGCATCTAAGTTATTTTAGACATAAATCTGAAAAGAAATAATCCCCAAAGGTCACCCGCTCCATCTGCCAGCCTCTAGGCGAGATGCCACTTCAACCATCAAAGGGAAGTCTGGATCCTCGGCTTAATGTGTGTCACTGGAAGCAAGTTGTTGTTTTTGTTTTTTTTTAAACAGAAGTCCTTATTAGTAATACATACTTTCCTAGGCAATGAAATCCATTAACATTTTCATGATAGAAATCAAATTTAAAATCAAAAAATTTTATTAGGGTTTTGAAGAAAGTTAGAAATAAGTAGTCAATGGATTAATCATGTCATTCTTGTATTTTCTGTGTCTCTCTCAGGAATGGAAAAGCCTTTTCTTTTTTAGTTTCAAGGTAAGAGTTTGTATCGGGAGGTAGAACTCAACCTCTCTAAGAAAAGATGAATTAGCAATGAAAATCTAGTCATTTCACTTTATCTATATTTGTGAGCAATTCCTTTGATAAAAATGGAATAAACGCCACATTTGTTACAGAAGACTTTTAATACCATATTAATTTATGATGTTTAAAGTACCTTATTCTTTTTGGGGTGGTGAAAATGTTCTAAAATTAGATTGTGGTGATGGGTGCACAGCTCTGTGAATATATAAAAAACCACTAACGTATACACTTTAAATGGGTAGATTTTATAGTATATGAGATATATTTCAATAAGTCTGTAAAAGTGGGAGGGAAATATATTTACAATATACTGGAATGTATCATCTTTAAGCTGAGAGCAGATCCCAACCAAATGGAAGCAAAGAGAGCTATTGTATCTTATGCAACACAATATGCTTTCTTAGAAGTGACCCCAAATCCTGACGAGTTAACCCCCTCCTGCATCCCAAGCATCCTTGTAGGTGTGGGTAGTGTTTTATTTTAACCCTTTCTCATATAACCAGGAATTGCTATGTCTTCACTCACTGAGAGCAAGTTAAGTAAAAGCCAGTTTGAAGTAGATGCAGAACGTGATGTTTCCTACTGAACCTGCAGCCTGTCATTACTGGTTTGACCAGGTGGATTACATGCTCCGTTATACTCAAATTAGTTGGGGTGGTTAGATGTGCCCTTGAACGAAAATCTTACATTTTTTATTTCATTCCTCACAAATGAAATGCCGTTTAAAAGTCTTTAAAAGTTAAAGTTTAATGTCATAAAATACATTTTAAAAATTAAATCTTGACCTCATCAAAACAGACTCTTAAAACTTCACTCCCCAAAGCAATGATATCAATACAGGAAAAGATAATGAAGGCTTCTTTCCCATTTTCAAAAATAACACAGAACAATAATCCAATATGTCACACTTAAATGCAGTCATGCTGCGTTACTTGTCTGCTCCTTGAGACGACTAACATCTTTGTTTCTCAAGTATTCTACCCTGATTTCTAGGGGGTAGAGCTACTTCAAATTAGTGAAAAGTCAGAATTTTAGGGTACTTTATACAAACACAGTATTTGCACTCTAAAATACATTAAAACACATCTAAGACCAACAAAGGATAGAGTGAGAATGTACTAGACCTAAGTAAATAAAAGGATAGCATTTATAACTGCACCAAAATGACAGAGAGAAAACAGCCCCTCTACAAAGCTCTGTCCTACCACCAGGCATACATATTTGTCAAGCAAAAACCTTCCTCCCACATCCGCACAAACAACAGCATACAAATCTCTCCCTCTTTCTTTCCAAGGATAATAATATTCAACGTAGTTTTGTCTGAATCATAAATAACACGCTAGTCTAACCTGTCTTAATCCTTGTACTGTATACAGTATCTATTCTCTACGTAGAAATGGGGCTGAACATTGGGGACTGTGAGGCACAAAGGACTCGCCTTTAAAATCAACCACATTGTCTAGCTCTAATCCTCCATCTAAGCAGAATTAGTGACGTCAAACCAGTTTCCATGGCACAGCCAGATTCATGACAACTCTGTTATATCAAGCAAAAGGACAAAACGGGCTGTGCTTAATTGCACACAGAAACAAACATAAAACCAAACCCTGGTTAATCCCTCATTTTCTGGGGACTTGGGAACAATTTTAAGATTGAAAGGCACATTAGGAATTTTTGCTGAAGTTCTATAATGAAGACTCAGTTGCTCGTACTTCAGCATATTTCCTAGTTTGTTATGACAAATATCCAGATAAACAAGTAATATTTTCCGTGATGCAACATTCTTAATTCATCATACTGCTTACTTGCTAACAGCCACACAATGGTGTCTCAGTGGTACAAATTATTGAGGATCTATTAAAACTAAAATACTGCAAAAAACAAAGCAGAAAACACCAATTGCTGATAAGAAAGCACTTTTTCATATAAACAAATTCTCTGTAATTACTAGTCTCACAAGCCAAACATTAAACTCACCCAATTCTATCAAATTCAATACCTTGCATTTATAGCTTCCTATAGCTATGCTCTCGGGTAGAATTCCTAAGACCTGTGAAATTCCCAGTAAGACTCTCTTTAATTGCCACCTGGATAAAAAAAAATTGCCAAGCCTTTCTTTTATAAATGCTCCACTATTCCATCAGACTGTTGCAGTACCCTTGTCCACACCTGTATAAAAATACCACTGTCGTAGAGGAAGTAACAGATCTCCTTTGAAACAAGTCACTGATTTCTGCCTTCCTCAGGAACCTCATCACTGCCCCACACTGCAGGTGAGAAGGGGCGGGGCGGGGGCTGGAGGGGTTTGGAATAAATGCTGCTGTGAAGACCTGGAACCCCAGGGTCAATCCCAGTGTGGACAGCTAGCTGTATACAGAGTTTGACGGCAGACAAAGGAGAACGTGCAAAAAAGACTCCATCCCAACTCTTCACGTATTTCCACTTCATATCAGGGAGTACACAGCGTGCTCTTGGAAGGTCATTACCTTTTTTTTTTAAAAAGCTTCAACATAATACTGAAATTGGTACAGACAGTTCTCTAATAGACTCTCAAGAAGACTGAAAAACATATGAAAATAGAGCTCTATGTCAGAAAAGAATCCTGGAACACAGGGGTTAGGTATATAATTAGAATCAGCAATTCAAATACTTATATTATACAAATATTGCTTTGTTGAAGAAAGTTTGCAAACATTTAGCACATGAAAGAGAATTACCTGCCCTAAAACACCATAACATGTCATAATTCCACCTTAAGCAATACAGTATGAAAGAGGCTATTTTTAGCTTTTCCATGGTTGTTATGGCAACCACCTCCTGGCTCCAGCTGTACACAATGTTTATAATTCCAGGGAAGTGAAAAGAGCAAGTTTCCTCTATAATGTAATTATGCACTTTCTACTTCTATGGTAATAATACCTTAGTTTGATTATAGATGCTTGTTTAGTGCTAGTCAGTTGGCCCTAGGCTATAGTTCTAGAGGGTTTGGAAAATCTCATACATCAGAGGTAGAATCAGTGAAAGGAAAACAACAACAACAAAGGATATTTATAAAGGACTCTGTTGTTACTCAATTGAGATACCAATCCCATGGGAACCGACCACAGGAAATATGCCATTTTGGAGCAGCATAGAGAGCAGGCTCTCATGAAGCCACTTATAATGTGTAAATAAGAATGCTTTTTTCAGGCCGGGGCGTAGTGGCGCATGCCTGTAATCCCAGCACTCTGGGAGGTTGAGGCAGGAGGATTGCTTAAGGTCAGGAGCTCAAGATCAGCCTGAGTAAGAGCAAGACCCTGTTTCTACCAAAAAATAGTAGCCTCCGAGTTACTCGGGAGGCTGAGGCAGGAGGATCACTTGAGCCCAGGAGTTTGAGGTTGCAGTGAGCTATGATGACACCACTGTACTGTACTTGGGATGATGGATTGAGCTCAGGAGTTCCAGACCAGCTCTGAGCAAGAGTGAGACCCCGTCTCTACTCTAAAAAAAAAAAAAAAAAAGGCATGCTTTCAGATGATTTGTTAACTTGGGAGTTTTTCTTTCCTGTTGGGCACACAGCTAACATTGCTGGCCTCCCTTGCAGTTAGCTGTAGCCTCTGACTGACTGAGGACAATGAAATGTGGGCAGAAGTGATGTACACCACTTCCAGGGCTGGCCCATGAAACCTCCCCTAAAACCATTCTCACTCTCTCTTCCCTTATCCGCTAGCTGAATGCAGAGGAGAATGCCAAGACCCTAGAGAATGATGGAGCCCCTAGATGGCAGAAGCCTCAGATGCCTGAATGACTGGGCAGAGATGTGAGGGAGAAATAAACCTTTATAGTGTTACACCACTGAAATTTGGGAGTGGTCTGTTATAGCAGTTAGCCTACGCTGACTAATACACCTAGTAACTCCTTTAATTCAAGTGGAGATAGATGTTCCTTCTTCTTGTAACCAAAAGTATTGATTTATAAAATCCATGTACATTTCTTACTTGTTCTTAGCAAGTACCACAATCACCCCCACAATGCCAGGTTCAGTACATAGCTTCTTATGGCTTTCCACCAGATCATTCCTTAACCGCACCTTAAAATCAGCTTGCTTTCTTAAAAGGTAAGGATCCAATTCATTGTCTGTATACTCCATGATAAACTTTACTCAGTGAATGTTTTTTGGATAAATGGATTCTCTTTTTTGTATCGTTTGTTTGTATCTAATGCCCCTGCTGTAATAATAGCTGCCAGGTTGACAGAGATAGCAGTGAAGTTCCTAGCTCCTTGCATTTGTATCATTGGCTAACTAATTGTGTAGCTTCATAGTACTCTATGTCTTTGGGCCTCAGTTTTTTCATCTGTCAAATATGGAAGGTTACTTTCAATTAATTTAAAGTACTAGATTTCTACGGCTCTTTGAATCCAATACTTTGTGCTCTGTGAAATGATTTCACAACTATTATCTCTTTTGATAGGGTTTTCACCAACACAATTAAAAATTCCTTTTACAATACCTCTGTGGCTTTTAAGTATTTCTTTTTTGAAGGACAGATTTACTATCTTGAATTAATACCATGTCACCTGCAGTCGTCAAGACTAGAATTAAGGTGGTGGCCCAAATTTTCATCCCTACTGGGTTCTACTTTGTCTGCCCCAACTCTGCTATCTTCTAGGGTTCTGGTTTGACCACTGCCATTTCCATATCTGACCATCAGAGGCCCACTCCCACCAGCAACCAACATCAAGCAGTTTGAAGGTTTTAAAGGGCAATGTTACTAAATAAAGCAATTGAAATCTACAAAATAGTGCAAACAAAACAAAATTACGAAGAACCTTGCTGAGAAACAGCTTCTTAACCAGTTTCTGTATGCTCAACAAATGGATTCCTAACCTCAGTTTCCTCATCTGTACAATGGTGAGAGGCTATGGAAGATAAATGAGTTAACACATACTAAGTTCCTGGTACATAGTATGTACTAAATAAACATAAACTGTAATCCCTGCCTAGGGCTGGTCATAGAGGTTTCTAACAAAAGTAGGGCCCTCGGGTCTTCCCTTTTCAAAACTCTGATTCCTTTGAGTCTCTTCCAAACTCAAAGCTATTTTGCAGATGAAGGATGACTATGAAACTCTAAATTTGGCAAATGATCAAGCTAGTTCAAGACGCAAGCCCAACTTTCAGCAGGTTTTCTTTGAAGGTCTAGATATCATTCAGGTTTTCCCAAGGAAGAAACAGAGCTTAATTATAATTTTACACTTCATTTTATTTCAAATAAATAGAACTCTACGACATATTTCTCAATAAAAAATGAAGACATCCTGCATATCTTAGTAGAACCCAATTCAATCCGGAACACACATGGGACCAGCGGACATCACCTTTTCCTCCAAGGATTAGTTTCATATCTTATAATCACTTTATAACATGCCTAAGTTCCTCACACATCCATTCTCCCAGTAAGAACTGAAAACCAGAGGATGGGGCCTTGCTTGATGAAACTTCACTGATTTGGGCTCTGAGAGGATACAGCTTTAAGAAGGTATTCCCGGGAATATCCCAGGAACTCTATCTGCCCCCTCAGAATAGCAGGCAATTGAGTTAGTGACGGTGACTCAGGCAGGCTTTTTAATCCTGAGCTAAAGGAACCACTACAACCCTAGAGAGGGAAATAAAAAGGGAATCGAGTGGAAAAGGCCTCCACCACTGATGACTCATGCTCCACTGTGTGACTCGCCTGGCATATCGCTCTGTGGCTAAGACGTGGAGGCTTGGTTCATTAGTCACTTCAACGAATTTTTCAAAGAAAGGATTTTCCCTATAAATAATAATGAGCTCTGCCTCTACAGTGTTTGTGTGTAAGTCTGTGACTCACCTTTCTACCATGCCAGGCAGCACCAATCGTGTCATCTGCAAGAGAGAAAACAAAACATTCACAATGGCCGAGGATGCAGGCAACAGATAAAGGTGAAGAAAATCCACCCACACAAAAATGAAGGGAATCACGAAACCACTCACCACCTCTACAGACAGCAGTTTATTTTATATACTTGAATAATTTGGCTGTGTCAAGAGTGCATAAAAAGGAATCAGATGAAATTACTGGAGGTAACACTGGGAATACTTTCAGTGAACTTGGCTAAAATTGGTCTTGCCCGAAATGTAATACTGGCACAAAGATCTTCAAATAATGAAGGGTGAAATCTACGTCTCCCAAAATGCATTCGTAGAAAAGAACATATGTTATCACAAGAAATATCCTGTCTACCAAGGCTACATAAGCTTTCTAATCTCAACAGCTCAAATAATCTTTTTCAATCAAACAAAGCCTTTAGAAGAACACCATAAAGTGACATGGTGGTAACTATTAAACATATCTTATCATTCACTTATCTTGCTGGTCTAGCTAGTTTGAGTAAAAAGTAACCAACAATGAAAAAGTGACACCTATATTTTTTTAAGGACTTCATAATTATTAACTAAATACATATAATGAGACAGGCTACTTCTAAACTCTGTTTTGAGATATTATCAACCAAGAAAAGTCCAAAAGTCCAATGGGCTTAGTCAAGATCACATTATAGTTAAGTACTGAGGTTGGAACATGAATTCCTGACTCCTAGATATCATCCGTTCTCTAAGAAACAGATGCTGTTTTGGAATAATAAGGTTTGAATGCATTCCAAGCATCGAAATTTTAATCTTTCTATCTTGAATAATACTATTTATTAAATAACATAGACAGTATTCTGATGAGAAGAGAATTTTTTTTTCCTGGAAATATTTTGAAAAAAGAAAATGCCATCCAGACTTTACCAAGGTAAACTTTGCCATGTGGACATCCAATCCAGATGTCAACTTCAGAGCTGTCATGTTGTTTTCAGTAAAAACATGAATTCAAGCTGACACTGCGTCATAAAAGATAGGCTGACACACTGCCAACTTCGAAACAAAGATGTATCTTCAATGTGTAGGGGAATCACTTCAATAGAAGTATCTGGATTTGGCCAAATCTTCCAACCCAGATAAAAAAAGAGAAACCACAAGAGAGAGAGTTTGGCCTAAAGCATTCCATATCGCCTTCTTTCTTACATACAAGTGTGTGTTTTTCCATATGAAACTCACCTTCATAGAGTGACGGGGCAGAAATTGCCAATTGTCCTCCAATATTCCTTCCTCCCTTCCTTAATACATAGCAGTTGATTTTCAGTTGGACATATGGCCTCTTCCCCACCCTCAGTGCCCCCCATAAAAACCGTATTTGCTATGACCTATCATGCAGCTGCATGTACCTCTCTATGACCATGTTCTATCTAACAAGATGTGAAGAGAAGTAATACATATGACTTCTTGGTCGTAACCTTAAAAGGGGGAAAATCTATGTTTTCTCCTTCACCTTTTCTTCTTCTTGGTGGCTAGAATGTGGAAGTGATGGAAGGAGCCAAACTGGGCATCTTAGAACCCAAGATGAAAGCCATATGCAAACAGTGGCAGAGCAGTGAGATGAAGGGGGATGGGATCCCCAATGATTGCAGGGCTACTATGCCAGACCTTGATTACATACCAGGCTTTTTATCTGAGAGGGAAATAAATTTCTATTTTGGTTAAGCCACTACTGGGTCTCTGTTATAGAAGCTAAACCAATATTCTAACTAATATGATTAACCATTTGTGTTGATAAAGACTGACCAATGTAATCATCTTATAACTTGGGGAAAAAAAATCCCCAAAGCAAACTCAATCAGAAATTATGCCCACAGCCCAAATAACCTCAATATTTTATTGTTTTTACAACATGGTCCTATCTTTCTTCTTTCTAGGTTTGCTTAACCCAATTCAAAAGATGCCCACTGGGTTTCAAACCCAACTTTAAGAACCAAGTCAAAGAAGAAGCTGATTTCAAAGTTTATGCTTTCAACAGTCACCTTTTCTCTTCTTCTTAAATAATAACTCTTCAAATTTGCACACGTTTCCTAAGATTTCTCTTTTCATAAAAGCACACAGTAATTGTTCAATACATAGCTATTGGATGTTTAAGGTAAGTGTGGTATGTAGCCAGGCCAAAGTTCTGTTATACTTACTAGTGGTGTGACCTTGAATTAGTTCCTTATCCTCCTCCATTGAGTCCTTATGCATTAAATGAAGAAGGTGTCCACATTACAGGTTATTATATTCTGAATATACATAATGGACCTAGCACAGAGCACATCATGGAGAAGGTTCTGAAGGGAAATCAGTGCCCCTTACGGTCAGCCTGCACTATCCTTTTAGGATCCAGCAGCACTAAGTATCCAATCCTGCCTTTCAGCATGGTGTGCCCAAGACAGTGTAGAGCCAAAAACAATGACACATTTTGAGGTCATCCAGTTTGACTCACCACATGAAGTTTCTTCTGGACAGTTCCGTCAATATTTTAAAATATCTCAGTTCAGATCTTCTTGGGGTAATAAAATTGTTCTATTATAAAATTGGACTATAATGATGATTGTATAACTATAACTTAAAAATTATTGAATTGTATATTTAAAACAAACGAACTTTACAATATGTAAATTATTTCTCAATAAAGCCATTTAAAAATACCTGAATAATCATATGGATAAGAATTAAAGAACCAGAATCACAAAATACATTTCGTGTCACTTTTATCAAACCCCAGAGATAAAAGAGCACTCAAAATGCTCTATGCTTTATGCTCTATTGCCTGGAGCAACATGTCGTAATAAAGAGTCATTCTTCTGTTTGGTTGAGGCCATGTTATCTGCCAGAACCGGGGAGGGTAGTGAGAGCATACCATCTAGAACAGATATACAAATAAATCATTATAAGACAATGCTGTGTGTGGAAAAGAGGGCACTGATGCTTAGGAGAAAGCCCATTAAGTCAGGTAGAGCTTCACAGATTATGTTTCAGTTAAGTTCTAAAAGAATAAATAAAAGTTTACTAGGCAGAAAAGAAACTCCAGTAGAAGAAATAGAATGCAAAAGGCAAACAGCTATGAGAAACTGCAATGTATGCTATAGAATTGATGCATTTTTAAAAACTTTGTGGGATGAACGAGTTAAACATAAAAAGAAGGAAAAAGTATGTACCTCCTGTCACATATATCATGCAACTTGCATTTACATGTAGTACTATGTCATGGACAGCTTCCCATGCTAGTACAAACAGATGTACATCGGGCATGTTAACAGTGGTAGGGTATTTTATTCTAAAGGATAGATTATATGAATGAACAGTATTGGAAAACATTTTTTTATTTAATACATTTCATCAGGGAACCATAATGCTTAACTAATGTATTACAAAGAGGTCCCCAAGCATTTTGTGAAGAGGAGCTATTATTCGGTTCCTCAAAGCCCTGAGATCACCAGAAAAAGAATGAGGAAAGAGACTGGTAATAAAAATGTTCTTACCCAGGAGTGTGTGTGTGTGTCTGTGTGTGTGTGTGTGTGTGTGCGCGCGCACGCACTTGTATTAAGGAAATGAGATTTGTTAACCGCAGCTAAGTGGAGTCCAGAAGGGGTAGCCACTGCCCGTTCAGTTCTCCTAAACAGGTTCTCTTAAATTTTTAGTTGGAATATTGAAGAAATATAAATGCACATATTGGGAACTAGTTTTTCCCTTTCACCATGTGCATGTTATATATTAAATGTCTCCTTTCTGAATGGGAAAAATTATCCAGACAATGATCAGAGACCAAAGGAAACTCCATAAAATATAATCATAGTTATCAAATTGTATCATTAGCATGTTAAGCATTAAATGTTTTCTTGATGGCCTTTTATATATGGACATGTTCAAAATATATTCTTTATACATGTGACTTAAAACTCAAGAAGTTTCAATAACGTAACAAAAGGGAAGAAACACTACTTCAGATGTCTGGCTATTAAAAGACCAGAAATACTTGTTGAATACTTAGTGACCAAATGATCCATCAGCAAAGACACAGTCTTCTCATGCAAAAGTTAAATTCTTTCTTATAGCTCATTGACTTCCCCTTTTAAATTCTGACTCTAAATTATTTCTCCTTGTCATAAAATGTAACATTTTTTTATCTGTCACATATTACAATGAAAAGCCTGAGAAAAGTTAATCTGAAATCTGCATACTTTTATAAAATTGATTGTCTTCACCTATATTGAAATTATCATTCCTTCTAATCAGATTATAAGTCACAATAAATTCAATTTCAAGCTTCTTTGCTTGGGTATGTATATATAAACTGTTCTTAATATTCTATGCATAAGTAGAGGCTTCATTATGTTCATCTCAAATTAAATTTTCTTTAACACCAAATTTTACATAGGATATTTTAACTAAGCTATTAGTAGTCTCATTTGTATGCATCGATTGGTATCTTGATATCTGGTTATTTATACCAATATACCAAGCATTTCTGTGAAATCTCACTATCTATCTGAACTCTATTTCACAGCTCACAAGGTGTTTCTGGAGTTAACTCAATGCTAATTTTAGGCCATCTGCAGGTGATAATTGCTGTACTAGGAAATTTTTTGTTCCTCTTAACATAATTCTAAAATAAGGCTACCATAACTTGTAAGTTCAGTGGCTAGAAATATTAGATTAGTGGTAAACATTATTTTGAGACTAGTTTTCCTCCATGTTGAGAATATTCCTAAAAGTATACAACAAACAATTTTAACTGAATTCTTCCCTAAGAAGTAGATAAAAGTTGCAACAATATTACTTTTACAACAACAAGTGCTTCAAATCCTTGCAGGAAAAGTGTTTCTTATATGTATATTTATATAGGTATGTTTGTGTATGTGTGTATATATACATATATTTTTGTAGTGACAGTTTCACTAATCTTCATCATAAAAAGTCCTAGATGCCTAACGTCTAAGGAGGACAGGTCAATATATATGTCATATCACACTTAG